AGTGCTGTAAAACACAGCATTTCCGACCATAACAAGGCCATAAAATAAGAGGTGTGGGTGCCGCACCGGGGGGGGGACGGCCTACTACTACTACTACCACCACTACTACGGTTTGCGGTTTAGGGTTTTGTGATGCGTTGAAAACATACAGCAGGGACGGCTATACGACTGGACAAATCCGTCACTGAGAACCGACAGCCGCACCGAATGCCATTGAACTCTCGCGGTATCGGTAAACTTTCATGACATGAATTAAGTTCAGTAAGCATTCACAGATCAAATGCACATGATCAGTAGGTCTTGACCAGCGATTGCAGAAAACATCTACCCTAAACTTCTGACTCTTGTTCGTCGGTTGTAGTCTGCACCCTAGCCCCTAGGTAGGAGGTCCTAAATCTTCCAGCCCGGACTTCAGGGTTCTTGCTGGGGCCTTTCATAATCAGAATGCGGTTTTGCTATACCTTGCAGTATGATGACAAGGAGGAGCTCTGAGGAAGACCTAATAACTATTCGCTAGGTGTCGGCGTCACCAGCCCCCAAAGCTATTTATAGCTAGGTTTTATGCAAGAAATAGGATATCGACCATTGCAAACATCGGTACTTGCTTGAAATGCTCTATTATGCCGGAGATCAGGCCCTACCATCCTTTCCCGTTGCAAAGATGCCGGGATGGTCTTGAAGAGCGCCGGGGTCAAGCCGCGATAGAGACCTGCAATAAACACCCTCGATCCCCATCCCAGAGAAAACCTCGAAATTTGATTCTAGGGTTTAGCAGCAATTGCAATATTATCCCGACTATACCATATAGGTAGGACCCTGCAGTATCATTTCTACAGCACAACATACCGCAAAACCTCACCATAATCAGCAAGGCCCCATAAAGCACTCAGAGTTTCGAGGTCTCAACAACAGCCTGCTCTAGAGACCGGCAAGCCTGAGCAGGAATGTCTAACTGCATTGACGCAAGTGAGCTTTGGGTACGCAATGATGATATGCTAAAGCCTGCGTACTTGCTCGACCGCCAAGACCCGAAACCCTAAACCCTAAACCCTGTCACACTGCTCTCCTGTACTCCGGTCCAGCCTTGGAAGCCGCTGTTAGCCAAGATCTTGCGGATGCAATCCTCGGCCGGACTGAGAAGACAGACAGGCCCTGAAGAGAGAACGCTGAGCTCATCCGAACTAGGGTTTGGGCTGCTCACAATGCTGCCGGACCCTTGCAGTGCGAAGCTTAGATGCCTAGATGTATTTAGGAGGCTGTACATGGTTTCTGGGCTTCCGGCTATGACTCACGAGTCTTTTTGTTCAGATGTGCTCTGAAGTGCTCTCCGGGCGAGGACAACATGGCGGCTAGCAGTTTGGATTGTGTGAGTTGCACACTTCGTGGCTTTGAGGGTTCATCGCCTTCGTTGTGCTTGACATACTTAAGCCCACCTGTGGATGCGAAAATCTGTTGCTTTAAGGGCTAGGCCGTTTCATTCACGGGTCATATTCTACCATCTTGTAGGGTTTGGGTCGAAGGTCAACTTTTCGAAGCTTAAGCCTTGCAGTTGTTGAGGCTAGACCTCTAGGTTCACACAAACCGGCTAAGTCGACCCTCCTCTTGCCGCCGAAGCCGCCATCACACCTGATGGGACTTGGGTTTTTTTGGTAAAGGGCCTCAGGCTGGCTGTAGGTCCGTTGGAGTTGACCCTGAACCCTAGGGTTTAGGGTTTGGGTTTAAACCCTGTCTTAGACTTCTTGGCTTGCTTTGGGGATTAAGTTTGAGGGTCTGTGGCATCGGGTGTATGTGCCGTAGGGATCCACTTCGGGGTCGAAGGGCTCTGGGTTTGGAGTTGAGCTTTAGGGCTTAGGGGGTCCTTTCTGACACTTGTAGGGGTGGGGGACGTGTTGGAAATGTCTGCTGGTCCTGTTTGAGCTCTCCCTAAACCCTAAAGCCTAAACCCTAAAACCCTAACCCCTAAACCCCCAACCAGAGCACAACAAACGAAACGAGCCAGGGCGAAGAGTTTGCTTTGACCGGACTGCATGTAGGTCAACTACAGCTGCACCAAGCCCTCACAGCTTCGAGTTTCGAGTTTAGGGTTTTAGATGTAGCACCTTAGCAGAGCCAAGATTCTAGATCGGCATGAAACCCACGATTGCAAGAAAGCGCCCTTAAACCCTGAACCGTCAGCCTCACGACCTAAACCTAAACCTTTCAACCCTATACCCCCAAACCTTAAACCCTTAAGCCGTAAACCCTCGACCTTATTAGGGTATTATTCTTCAAGCCTCAAACCATAAGCCCTTAAGCCGTAAACCCTGAACCTTATTTTCTGAATATCCTTCAGGCCTATCAGCCTTAACGCCCTACCCCTAGGCCGCATAGTAGTTCCTTTTTGGGATTACCTTAGAGGATTCTAAAATACGAACCCCAAAAAAATAACTGCTATGGGGCCTATGGGCAGACCTCCCTTTTGCCCATGGCGCCTTCGTATCTGGGCGGCCTCCCGGGCATGCCCTGGACGATGAGCCGGGTCCTGACGACCGTCAGCGGGTACCTTGAACGGCTTCAGAACTCAAGGGATAGGGTCCAGGGTTCAGAGTTTAGGGCTTTAGGGTTTTAGGGTTTAGGGCTTGGGGTTAAGGATCCAGATTTGTGGATGTTCACTTACAGTAATTGTAATTAAGGAAAAGAAGACTCACAGAGGCCTAGTCGTATCTATTGTCGGGGCTCGTACTCTCTAGGGGTGATCAGAACTCAATCGTTTGTGATAAAAGTTGAAAGCATGACGACACAAGCAGAAATCGAATGGTATACGGACTAAATGTTGTTTCGAACATATGTTAAGGCGGTAGGCTATAGTACAGGATTACAAAGCGCATTTGATGCGGGTTGATGCTTTTCGCAAAGTGCCAATACCTACGTTCCACCCCTAATAAGACAAGGGCTAAAACAACTTCAGTATGCGAATGTATGCGAATCGCGACTGGCACAGCTACCAGCATGTAAAACTCTGGTGGGTTGGGGGGTTGATGACTTCGGGTCTAAGGTTTTGGGGTTTAGCCTCCCCTTGACTTGAGCATTGCAAGCTCCAAACCGTCCCAGCCCTTATGGAGGTTCCCGAAAACTCGGGACCCTAATATAGCACCCCAAACAGTAGGACCCTTATTATAAGGACCCCAAAATACTGTACCCTTATTTTCGGAAACTCCCTTGTCGAACCATAGGATTCCGATCCTTGCAGCTGAATCGCGAGACTACGGCTCCACAGGTGGCAGAGACCGCGCCGAAACAGAGAGCCAACCTCACGGATGTTGCTGGAAAAGACAGGGTGTCATGAAGTTTCAGATCTTCTTGCAGGCTGTGTTTCGGGGTGGGACCCTGCAAGTTGGGTGCTTCTAAAGCTTCGCATGACAACAGAGCTTCGAACCATTCGCTAGACTATCTGCTCATGGATCTGCATCATGTTCAACTGTACCAGACATACACAGACACGTGTAAACCCAAGCACAAACACAGATTGACTAACGCATGCACTCGCAAACATGCACACATAAACACAAACATGACACACATGGGTGCAGGCATGCAATTGTACGCCTGTGCTGGCAGGCATACATCCGTGAATAAATCAACTTCAACTGGATGAGCAAACCACACACGATACTACTCTCTTCCTCTCACAATCACCAACAATAGAGCTATGTTCGTGTTTGTGTTTCAATGATCATCTTGTACACAACCAAGTATGTACCTGTAAGTGTATATATATGTGTGTGTGTATATGTATGCATGCATGCATATATGTATGTATGTATGCATGTATGTAAGTATGTAGTTGTATATGTATGTATGGATGTATGTTTGGATGTATGTATGTATGCCTGTATGTCATGTATGTATGTATGTATGTATGTATGTATGTATGTATGTATGTATGTTTGCATGTATGCATGCATGCATGCAAGTATGCATGCATGTATGTATGTGGATATATGTATGTATGTATGTATGTATGTATGTTTGTTTGTTTGTTTGTTTGTGTGTATGTATGATAATGTGTGTATGTCTGTGCAGGTATGTATATGCATGTGTGTGTATGTGTATGTATATGTATGTAGATGTATGTGTATGTAGATGTGTGTTTGTGTATGTATGTATGTATGTATGTATGTATGTATGTATGCATGTACGTATGTACGTATGTACGTATGTACGTATAGCCTTAGAAGGTTGCGCTTTCACATAAACATATGTGTATATATGCACGTGCCTATTTGCATGTGTGTACATATATATATATATATATATGTCTGTGAGTGCTTGTACATACATCCATCCATCCATCCATGCATGCATGCATGCATACACCCACACACACACAAACACCCATATCCACCAATCGTCTCGGAGTTTGAATGCCTTTCAGAAGCCAAGGGACCATAACATTGAGTCAAAACAGCAGGACAGGATCCCTCACAGAAGGACCCTCAGCCCCCCAAGGACCCCCAAGATTAGGATGCGCCAGTCGCAGCGTGTGGTTTCCACACCTACCCACCGAGGGCCCCGACGTGAGTGGCATCGCCCGCTGATCTGCATTCCGGGGCTGCTCATAGTTGGCCTGGTCTGTTGCTAATGCAGCGGCCTTAATAGAATGCCAGAACACCTAGACAACGTGTATTGCCAGAGAATACTACTAGTTGTTAACCCTAAACCCTGAAGAACGGAATAGTAATACTACTACTACTACTACTACTACTACTACTACTACTACGACTATTACTACTACTACTTCTACTACTACTACTACTACTACTACTACTACTACTACTACTACTATTACTCCTACTACTACTACTACTACTA